GCCTCTCCGACCGAAGTGGTAGCGAAGCCCATGTTCGTCCTGTGTACAAATGCGAGCACACGACAATAATGTCACATCACGACAGGGCCCAAGCGCGTCTTGAAAAAACAGGTCGCGTCGGCTGCCACAGACCACAACAAATAAAAAAAAAAAACAGTACCTGGTTAACTCACTATACATTTTAAACGAACGCTTGTAAATATTACATTTTCGTCAGTATACCGATTTTCGTCGATAAACCGAAAATAACCTAGAAGTTTATGAGTCTACAAATATTTACCGCAACAATTTCCGAAACACCTTTTTTTTTTTTTTTTAACGCTGTGCTGTTTTGGCGCCGAGCTGTTTTGACGCTGTGCTGTTTTGACGCGTGCTATTTTGATCCGTGCTGTTCTGTCGCCGTGCTGTTTTGACGCTGTGCTGTTTTGACGCGTGCTATTTTGATGCGTGCTGTTCTGTCGCCCTGCTGTTTTGACGCTGTGCTGTTTTGACGCGTGCTGTTTTGTCGCGTGCTGTTTTGTCGTGTGCTGTTCTGTCATGGTGCCGTGTTGAAGGTACTCGGTCTGACGTGGAAGCCGAATGTAGACAGCTTTTCCTTTTCGGTAGAACACGTGATTGAATTTGCCCGCCAACGAAGAAACACCAAGCGTTTCGTGCTCCAGACGACGGCATGCCTGTATAACCCTGACCCCCTTGGTTTCCTCTCCCCCCTCGTGGTGCGAGCCGACATCTTTTTTCAGGAAATCTGGAAGCTGAGCGTGCGCTGGGACAATGCACTGCCGGAAGAACTGATGAGTGGCTGGAAAAAAACTGGTGTGACGAGCTTGCCACACTTGAACAGATTAGCGGGGCCGGGTTCTACGACAGCGAGCTGAAGGGAAACGTTGCACGTCTTCTCGAATGCCAGCACCTCTGTATACAGATCCATGATCTTCATCTCCCCAACGGATGACACCGGAGAAAAGACCGCGACACTCTTACTGGCCAAGTGCCGCGTGTCACCCCTGAAGGCAATCTGTCTTGTGAGATTAGAGCTCATGGCCAGCTTGGTTGAATCAAGGCTGTTGAAGTACGTAAGGACACACCTCGAAATCCAAGTGGATGAAGCCCATTTCTGGACGGTCTCCATAATTGCTCTGCATTGGAGCAGGGGAGAGCCATCGAGAGAGAAGACGTTCGTGAGAAATAAAGTACAATAAATTGAAGCAGACAGTGAGAATTCAATGTGTTACCACTGCCCGGGGAAGGAGAATCCCGCCGACCTGATGACACGAGGGCTGTTCGCGGATCAAATGCTTTCTGCACCGCTCTGGTGGACCGGACCAACTTGGTTGCTACTACCCGCGGCTGAATGGCTTGGGGAATGTGACGAGGAGCTTTCCCACGACAGGCTCGAGGAGAGGACTCCGAGAGCAGAGCTCTTTGAGGTAACTGCAACTGCACCGGAAGAGTTGCTCGACATCTGAAGGTTCAGCTCGGTCTAAAACTCCACAGAACAATGCCCTGGATTTTCCGGTTTGTCTATAACATCAGATTGTCAGAAAAAGGATGGGACCAGTGACCGCCAAGGAGATCTAGATAGCGCAAACACACTGGGTAACAAGAACAGTGAGGTCAGCGTTTGCATCCGATATTGATTGCGCAGCAAAGAGAATGTCGCTCCCACCTGGGTCACTCAAGCGAGACTTTCGCACTTCCATCGATGAAGAGGGATTTCTGAGGATCAGCGGTCGACTCCAGGCATCGAACCTGACGCAGAAAGAACGCCACTCATTGTACTGCCTAAGGAACATCGATGCTCAACGCTGCTGACTGTCGACGCCCATCGTCAGGTACTGCACGCGGGAGCAAGGGACACACTTGTGCAGCTACCCGAGAAGTACTGAATCGTACGTGGAAGACAGCTAGTAAAGAATATTGTGCGTGCGTGTGTGGCATGCCTGCGATTCAACGGGGCTCCTGCAAGTGCTCCGACGGGAACCTTGCCGGTGCATGGGACTGCGCGAGTTGACTTCTTCGAAGTAGTGGGCATAGACTTTGCGGGACCCCTGCATGTTAAGGAGTCGACCTCTCCGGCAAATCTTACGTGCTGTTGTTTACATGTGCGGTCACCCGAGTGGTTCATTTAGAGTTGGTGATTGAAATGACGACAAAGAGCTTTCTATATGGCTTCCGCAGATTTGTGTCGTAGAGAGGGGTATGCCGCGTCATTTATTCGAATAAGGCTTTGACATTTAAGCGGGCCTCAAATAAGCTAAGTGAAGTGTGGAAGACACTTCGACACCTTAATAGGATATCCAGCATTTTGCTAATACTGGCATAGAGTAGCGGTTTATTGTCGAACGAGCGCCATGGTGGGGAGGATTTTATGAGAGGCTCGTGCGCTCGGTAAAGGTGCCATTGAGGAAACTAATCTGGAAGAAATGCCTGGGCGTGGAGGAATCGGCCACGATTTCCACCGAAATTGAAGCTGTTGTGAATTCGAGGCTACTTATCTTCGTCTACAACGAGGTTGGAGAGGGCGACCCTCTCACGCCGGCGAGCTTTCTAATCGGTAGACGGCTGACGGCGTTGCCGGCGGCGGGAGTGCAGCCGCTCGCTTTGACACCGGAGACACTTCGCGTTCAGTGGCGAAAACGAAAACGGCTCTTAAATTTATTTTGAGGGACTTGGGGTTCGGAATACCTCCGAGACCTGAAGTCTGCTTATGCTATTCACCAAAAGCAGACCCCTCCGCCCCCAGTGGGCCAGCTGGGTCTTTGGAAAGAGCCACTTCCACGACTGTTTTGGAAGCTTGGCAAGGTTGAGAAGGTTTTTTTTTTTATGGACGTAATGCAAGGGTTCGTTCATGCGAGATTGGCTTGCATCGCGGTACTTTTTTGCGAAGGCCAGTGCAACTTTTCTACCCCCAGAAATGACGGGACTCTAGAATGTGCTCGCTCCCATTCGGTGGGGAGTGTGCTGGAACTTTCGACAACGGCATCGGCTTTCCTCTGCAGAGACGATCGCGCGCATGCGGCGAGCTGAACTTCGTACACGCAGCCGCCAGATGCAGCCGCGAAGATCAACAGCTGGGAATATCGAGACTCGACCAGAACGAAAACTGGAACGCAAGCAAGCGGAGTACGAGAAAGTGACAGGTCTGATTGGAACGAGTGTGTGGAGTTTAATATTTAGCGTTGGGTTTCGTTAAGACTGATCGATATCTCGGAAGCGGTGCCGTGTTGTTTGAAGACCGGTGGCTTCGCTGCGTTTCCATAAGAGCTAGGCCTTTTTCTGTCTTTTACTTTTTTCCTCAGGTAAGTTCGCTCTTTGCAAATTTTATGGGAAAAAAATGCACCATCCTTCGGCAACGCTGCACAAAATCGTAGCACGATAAGAAACCGAATTTTGCGGTCGATATAAAGAGCCTGGCCGCTCCTTCAATCACCCAGTAAGTATAATGTATGTATATATATATATATATATATATTATATATATATATATATATACTATACATATATACTTACTGGTGATTGAAGGAGCGGCCAGGCTCTTTATATCGACCGCAAAATTCGGTTTCTTATCGCGCTACGATTTTGTGCAGCGTTGCCGAAGGATGGTGCATTTTTTCCCATAAAATTTGCAAAGAGCGAACTTACCTGAGGAAAAAGTAAAGACAGAAAAAGGCCTAGCTCTTATGGAAACGCAGCGAAGCCACCGGTCTTCAAACAACACGGCACCCGCTTCGCACGGCAGACAAGAGATGGCGCAAGCGGTCGCGATGCCAACTGCCGCCAACGATCCAGCATACGTCGCCGAGAGTCGGCATCTTTAGCAGACGATCGTTTCGACTCAAAAACGCCGCGCGTTCCGCATGTGGCGACAGTCGGAGAAATAAAAAACAGGCGCGGTAACTACAAGGAACTGCAAAACAGACGACGTCAGTACCCCCCCCCCCCCCAAAAAAAAAAAACAGTAAAAATATCGCGACAAACCATTTCTTCATCGATTATCTGTCCATTCAATATGTCTTCTTAGTAAGGATGATAAAATAATCCATTGGCAACTGATATCAGAATAGCTCGCGCCGCTTTTGAGTCGAAACGATCGTGTGGTAACGACGCCGGGTCTCGGCGACGTAAGCTCGTTCGTTGGCGGCAGTTGGCATCACGACCGCTTGCGCCATCTCTTGTCACCCGTGCGAAGCGGCGCCGTGTTGTTTGAAGACCGGTGGCTTCGCTGCGTTTCCATAGGGCCTTTTGCTTTCTTTACTTTTTCCTCAGGTAATTTCGCTCTTTGCAAATTTTACGAAAAAAATGCACCATCTGTGGGCAAACGTTGCACAAAACCGTAGCGCGATAGGTTAAGAACCCGAATTTTGCGGTTGATTTAAAGAGCCTGGCCGCTCCTTGAATCACCCTGTTATATATATAATATATATATATATATATATATATATATATATATATATACTCTCGCGTTTTGGGCTATTTGCTTGGTAATCTTTCGACATTTTGATTTATCGGCGATTAAATCTTTCAACGTTATGATTATTGCACCTTGTGTGACGTTCGGCCTTTTATTTTGTTCTGCGTTTTGATACAGTCGTACCTCGTTAAACACGGACGCCATTAATATGAATACACCACTATATGGGCACCAAGTTTGGGGACAAACAGGGATGATACGCATATTTTGTCTCGTTAATATGGGCATCTCAGATTATGGACGATTGCCTTTTTTGGGAGTCTGTGTGTGTGTGTGTGTGGAAGGGCGGGGGAATATTCATGAGACATCACTGTATATGAAACCATTTTATGTCATGGAATTCAGTTTCAAGCGAGGCATTGCCATTAAAAACGAGCAGTTGTTCTACTTTCGCAATTTCGCGCCGCAGCTGTTTTCGTTAGCGTATACTGTTAAACATCTCCAGCTGAGATGGACTAAACATAGAAGCGAATGCAGAGGGTTTTTCGGCTTACCAGTTTTGTAGCAGCCTCTGCGCACGCCCGTCGCCATGACGAGTCCCTGCACTTTCTTTTATGAAAAGCTTGTTCTGGTCACAGGTGGAGGCGGCGGTATCGGGAGGTGCGTCAGCCAAGCACTGGCCAGCGAAGGAGCACGGGTCATGGTTGCCGACATAAACCTCGAAGCGGCGGAAGCGACGGTGCAGTGTCTCCCAGGTACGCCTCGCACGAGGAGTATGTAGTAACTCAAATCTTGGCGCACTGTTTGTGATCAAGTTTCATCCGTCAACTTTCACACGTAAAGCACGGACAGGCCACAGTAGCGGTCTACCGTAGGAGACAATTGAACGAAAAGCACCCCTAGGCGTTTCGTGAGTTCAGAAAAACTGCGCTACGCTCGTAATTGTGCTCACGTGAAACGTTACGAACCAGCGTTACTCCTGCCACGGCCCCTTCATCAAAAGCGCCACTTTGCTTCGGCATGCCGCTTCACTAGGAGACGCATTGAAACACTTATCTAGCTTAGTTTCCTAACTTATCGCTGGAGGCGCCCCCCCCCCCCCCCCCCCCCCCCCCCCGACACGTAAGGCCTCTTTACGTGTCTGTGTTCACTTTACGTGAATACCAAATAAGCCAGTGCGCAAGGCCCGCACCTCGTGAAGCCCTTGGAGGCAAATGGCGCTGCACTGAAATGAGCTGCTCCTAGAGTCAAATGGCGGCGGAGCACTCGCCCTTGGGTTTGATCGAGAGACTTAGACTGAATACATGGCCGCTCGGTTTACAGCGTGAAGCAAGGGACTTGATGACTGTTTGAGTGGACTGCATAAATCGGCTTGTGAACATATTGATCTAAGGTTTTCCACACCGGTGACCGAAGAAAGTGCATTAAGGGTACCCAATTTTGAATACAAAAAGAAAATCGAAGACGCTTACAATTCCCAGTAACGCCGAATAAGAGCGCAGCTATTGAGGAGGAGGAGGGGAGGGTATGGAGATGGTATGCCCCTCCTCCCAACACCACCTAGAGGTGAAGGTCGCAGCGCTCCTTCGGTGACGTCACACGAGTCGTCTGGCGAGCGCCGCGTGAAAGTGCCGCACTGGAGGCGTCGCGCATAGATTTACAGACCTAGATGGTATTTTTTATTGACCCAAACGTTTGTTAATTGGTCAACCAGGATCTATAAATATCTGTATGACTAGGAAACATAATTTGTTACACGGGCAGCATATTAGGACGTACCATTATTGTTATCATATGAAAGAACAAGGTTAACGACGTTTTGAGACAGATGGGTTTTCGTTTTAGGCATCCAAATCTTGGGTGCTTTAATTATTTCTAGGAGTGAAAAGACACAAACAAACAAAAAATAAATGCCCTGAATTGTTATTGTAAGTGATGGGACCCGCCAAAATGCATAACAGCAACAATCAAGTTGGTGATGACATGTGAGGTTAATGAATTGGTATGCGAAGCTAATGAAAAGAAGATTATTAAAAAAAATGTGGACTTTTGGCGCACGAAAAAATGCAGAGTTGAAAAGTTCAAATGTACTTTTTACCAGAAGCAAACATATGATAATAAAAGCAACTGCAAGCGAACTGGGGAATGTTCATCATAAAGTAAGTAATCCGAGACTGAGACACGGAGGCGAAAAATTAAACGCAGAAAAGACACAAAACAGAGGGAAAGACGCCGCCTAAATCGAAGTGCACAAGTTTTGATTTAACCGAATGCAGGCAAACTTAGCAAACTTAAAGCATAATTTTCAGTAATGCACTTGTAGAAGCTGTAGAAGCTTCATGCACACATCTACCCGCGTTCATTCACATTACGAATAGATGCTGTGAATATAAGTTCTCTCACCTTTGAAATCTTCAAATTGTATATCCTCGTGTATCCATAATTTTTTCTTGTATCCATCTTGACAGAATTCAAGCACAAGCAACTTAGATGCCGCTCTGTAGCTTTCGAGACACTAAGACACAGCGCATGTACGGCATGTAGACTTTAATGCCGCTTCGCAATAATAATGCTATGACAACTGTTGGAATGAATATAAAATAATAGTTTAGATTTTAAGATTTCACATTTTCTTTTCTTTGACTTGGAATTAGCTAGCCTCATAACCTTTTCGTTCACCCTTCCACAATAGCGTTTTAGCACAATGTTCGTGCTGCACCAGAACAAGTTCTTCAGCACGAGCTCACTTGTGTGTCTTTCTTCACATGCGTCGAAGTCAAAAGTCTCGTTGGTAGACAGCAGTTCCATTCTAATCTCGGTGACGAACTGACGCTGGATCGGAATTTTTAGAAACTCTACCTGCTTGGAGAGTTCTTGAGCAACAACGTAATTGTGTGTCACGGCATTAATGGCGAACATAGTTGGATAAAAGAGCCCCCTCGATCCAATTTCTTGAGAAGAGAGTAGTTCTCGTGCGCAGGTAAAACTGTTGCCGTCTTATCTTCTTTAGTAAGCGCCGCCCTGCATTTTTGACATTTCGGCTTTTTCAAAGCGGCATAAACTGCGTACCCTGCCACGTAGACTAAAACTGGGAGGGTCGCTGCCTTATATATATGTGATATTGCGAGCCAGCCAGCTGCCTGTACTTCCCGAAACAGTCTTCCAAGCTATCAGTCTGCATCCTTCCCAGCAGGACATAGTTCAGCCAGAGTTCAGTGAAGCAGTATTCGGTGATCTCTACAAATGCACGGGTTGTTTGACGGAGTGCTCCGTGCGTCTCCTTGGTTAGCGTGCCACTGGTAAGGTTCTCGCTCTCCCATACGTCAAGCCAGGAATCTAGCCAGTCAAAAAGACTGCACAAAAAATGCACATTGGAATCGTCCTCTACAGAAGTCACTGGTTCTTGAAAGTCGTCTCTGAGTCGTGTTCCTTTGTTCGGCGTGCATGTTAAAATTTCCTTCAGATTTCGAGACCTTAACGATTTCATTGATTCCTTTAATAATATGCGCCACAGACGTAGGAACAAGAGGCGGACATAGAGAGAAGGCTACAGGCTCCTGGACGTGGTTTTGAAAACGGGAGCCTGCGCTACAAAGATACGTTTCTAAAATCAAAATAGAGAGCTAGCTTGTGCTTGTCGCCTTCACAGCCACGTCAGTGTAAAATTCAACAAAATAAATTCAATAATTCGAAAAAAAAGTGAAAATATCTGAGAGTTCTCACCCTGCTATGCGTCGATAGAACAAGGTTTCTTTCGACCAATCGCCCGCACCCATACTTTTCGCAGTTCTTCATCCTCCGGGAACTAAACACAGCACAGACACTTTTTGCGACGACGTTTCATAGTTCCCATGTCACCCAGGGTCACAGCATTCATGAGGCATGGCTAGCCCGATAGCCGCCCGTAACTTCACAACCACCACGCGTTAAGAACCGCCAATCACACCAAACGCAAAAGACAAAAGAACGGTTAGAACAATTCGCGTACTCCCGCCGCGAGGCTTCTGCAAGCCGCGGTGCGCAAAGGAGGCAAAAATTGTCACTGCGCAACTGCCCCGGGAGAACCCTGGCGCCCTGGGCTCGGAGAAAGCTAAAAACAGTAACAAAAAAAGGCCGGAGCATGCGTCGCTTGTCGTCCTCGGGAAAACATGTATAAGAAAAAGAAAAAGAGAGCGTGTGTTGCGGAGAAGCTTTTCTCTCAGGTCGGCCCACTCGTCGTGAATCTCTGACGTCACAACTCCGAGCGCTGCGGCCTTTGCTCTAGGTGGTGTTGACCGTGTTGCGCCTCCCCGACCGTACCCTCCCAAAACTACGTAGAGCAAAGGCAACACCACCTAGAGGAGAAGGCCAGCACACGCCTCCAGTGACGTCACGGCAGTAGGCTGACGAGCGCCGCGCTATAGAGCTGAGCTGAAGGCTTTGCGCGTAGCTTTTACGTCGTAGAAACGCCGGTTTTCGCACTATTTATTTTTTATGAGCTAACGTGAGAGCTGTGAACGCCGAGTGATTTAAAGAACCAATTTTAGAACGCAGGAAAATCATTATAACCTACAGTTATTGTAGTCAAATACACGAAAGTGATACCTTGAGACAGATATGTTATTTTTTTAAGCGATAAACTGGGTGGTGTAATTATTTCTGGACATGGGAGTTGTACAAAAAAAAAGGATCCCCATGAAATGGCAATAATCGAAGTAGTAGAACCAGATAAAATAAACTAAAGTAACAATTGATAACTGAATAAGTGATGCAGAGGCATTAATTTAATTTAATTTTATTCACCTCAAAGGCATCCAAAGACGCATTACATCAGGGAGGATTCGAAAATAAAAAAAAAACAAAAATGTAATTAAACATAAAAAAACACCAACAAAAAAATGTCAGACACAAACACACACAAAAAAAAAACGCTTAATGCATGTTATTGTTATGATGCAGTTTTACAAATCAAGGCTCAGTTACACAAATTGATGCACTTCTTTTTAAATGATTTGGGATATCTCTCAGTTACAATATGGTCAGGTAGTTTGTTCTAGTCAGTGTTGCAAAGCACGAAGGAAGAAAAGAGGAAAGTGTAAGTATGGCACTGAAATGGTTCAATCTTGCAGGAATTATCTAATAAGGAGGATATGAAATTGGCAGCCCAGCACTAAGTAGATTGATAATTGGAATCTGAGTAATATACATCTAGAAAAAAAAATACAATCCGGCAATTTTTTGTCTTCTTTCTAAATGAGGAAGATTTATGCTAGCTTTTAAAGCGGAGACACTAGTTTCGGATGAATAATCACTGCATATAAATCTGGCTTTGTTCTGAAGGTTCGAGCCTCGAGATTAGGTAACCCAGGTGTGGATTCCAAATTATGCTGCACATTCTAATGTTGCGAAGACAAATGTTCTGTATGCGAGTAGTTTTGTCGTAATGGGAGCTAGGTCCCTACTGAAAAATCTCATTTGTATGAGAAATTTCTGTGTTTAATAAACAGATATGAATTATACAAGATATACAAGAACATTTAATAGCCCTATAAAAGCCATATAAGACCTATATAAGAAACGTGTGACAAGTTTCTTATATATCTTATATAGTTCTTACATGGTTATTATATCTTGTATGATTTATGTGTTTATTGAGCAGAATAATTTTCTCATACAAATGGCTTTTTCAAAAATTAAGTGTTTTTAGTGTGCTATTTCTTATTTTCTCAATCCACGATGATGAGTCTGTAAAATACACGCCCAAATACTTGTACGA